ACACACACACACACACACACACACACACACACACACACACACACACACACACACACACGGGAGGGGAGGGAGAGAGAGAGGTGACTGCCGGTACTCTGTTCATTGAGGAGAACCCTAGAACCCGCCCAAACCTAAAGGTTTGTCTTCACAAACTTGAAGGCCTGGGATCTTCCCTGAGGCTGTCCCAGACGCTGAAGATCAGAGCAGGGTGGCACTCACTATGAACTGTGTCGTCCCCCCACCCCATCAAAGTTCTGGACCCATAGAATATTGCTGTTCACATCTGGGGGGGGGGGTGTCTCCCCAAAGCTCAGGTTACTCAGTCTAGAAATGCCTCCAGGCACGACCAGAGGATTACCGATCTCCTAAGTGACTGTATCCAGCCAAACTGACCGCACAGCCGTCGCGGTGCTTGGGGCTGAGTACTCTAGGTGGTGGCCTTTATTTCCTTGCTTGAAAGGCCTCCGATCTTGAACTGAGACCACTACACTTGGCTTTAGTTTGGTTTCCAGCCACCAAGGCTACCACGCGATTTCTTTTCTCCTCTGATATTTTCTGGCCGAAGGAAGAAAGAAGACTTCACAGGCTTAACGGTGCTACAGGGGCCGCACTCAGGAATGGTGCCAGGGCTGGCGGAAAGGGCAAACGCGGGCAACTTCCAAGCTGGGTTGGGGATGAGTAGGGGATACGAGAACTTTTTGCCCCTACGTGGATCAAAGCAGGTGAGGTCCCTGGGGAATTTGGGTAGTCCGGGAATACCGGAGCTGGGAGTTGGGGTAGTGGGGCTTACTCAGGGTGTGCGTGGGTGGGGACAAAGGACAGAGAAATAGTATTTTCTGGGCAGTTGTGCCAGGCTGTGTAGTGCGTGGATCATCCGTTCACTCAAGCTGGTTCGCTCCAGCTGGCACAGCCTGTGAGAGACGGGTGGGAAAGGACCAGGGAATCTGCTGGTCTCCTGAGCATCTCAGCCCTCACCTGGGGGCGGTTCCGCGAGGGTTCCAGCAGGGGGCGCGCCGAGCTCCGAGCCGAGCGTCCCGGGCGCACCTCCAGCCGGCGCCTGGGACGGGGCTGGCCGCTCCGCCCCCTCGGCTCCGCCGAGGCTCTGCTGGCGGACGCCGGGCTCTGGGAGCAGAGCGGAGCCTCTGGCCGTGCACCCCGCCGCGCCCCGGTGCCTGTCCTGCCCGCCGCGCATGCAGCGCAGCCTCTCTCCGTGAGTAGCGCCTGGGCCACGGGGCTCGACGGCAGCAGGGGCTGGGGTGGCCGGGCATTGCCTGCCTGTCGAGGATATGGCCCTTCTGTAGTTTACGCGCTGTGGCGGCCCCGGGAGGCCAGTCTGCACGCTGCTTCCTCGGGGTGCCTCCTAAGCTTGGCATTCTGATCCCGGTGCCGGGCTGGGGAGACGGACAGAGGCCTGGCACCTGGGCAGGAGAAGGGAAACAACCATGCATCAAGTTTGGCGCCTTCGAAGGAGACCGGTCCGGGGTATGAGAGAGACAAGCGCAGCCTCTGTGGGCTCACACCTCCTCCCCACCTTGTCTTAAGGAGGTTGCTTCCTGAGAAATGAAGCTCGAGTGTGGCCTATGGAGCTGTGGGCAGGTGGAGGAGGGACACTTCCTTGCTCCCTGACCTCTAGAATCTGAAGGCAGCTGGAGGCAGCTCTTTTGGTTTTTGACATCGGTTCCCAACCGCCTTGGCATCCTAGGGAGTTTTGTTGACGAAGAGGGGCTGGCACCTTGACTGCTTCAGAGTTCAGTTCAGAGCCCTCTTTTCTCCCCACCCACCCGCTGTTAAGGTTTTGGCATTTAAAGTGATGGCATTGATAGCCTCCTAACAGGCTTGAACAGGGGTCGGGAAAGGGTGGGTATCTGCTGCCAGTGACAAGCTTCCTGCAGGCAGGAATAAAAGCCAGCACTCCCCTAGAGCCTTCCATTCTGCTAGGTGTGGGGGCAGACAATCCGGCTGTCCCAAAGAAGCTGAACCTTCTACAAAAGATGGAGTTTTTCTCATGTCAACTCAGTCAGGAGGCTGACCCTCTCTGAGCCTCAGCTTCTTTATCAGGGATTGTCCAAAGGTTCTGTGATGCTAGAGTCCCCTCCCTTCTGCTGGCAGCTTCCCCAGAGCCCTACTCTGAGGATTCTTCATGGGTGTGTGTGTGTGGGTGTGTGTAACACCCCATCCCCCACCCCCCCACCCCACGCGCGCCAAACCACTGCCTGTTCCTGCCATAGCCTGGTTTCTCTTACCAGAAACGGGTAAGGTGGGAGAGCATTGCACGGTGAATGAGCTTTGACCAGCAGTGGAGACTTAGAGAGTGTGGGGTGGGTTCCAGACATGAGCACCTTCTCTTACCTTGGAGTTGTCCTCCCAGAAGCCCCTGGCTTTCCAATCTTGAGCCACCCTTGGTGGAGTTGCATAACTATCAAAAAAAATCCCTGGGAAGCTTGATGGCCTAGCTGGGTTGATGGTGGGCAAGTCCCTTCTCCTGTATGAATCTCAGATTCCTCCTTTTGTCCAACAAGTGAGTTAGACTAGATCTCAGTGGGTTCAGACTTTTGTTTTGAGATGAGTTTTTACCCAGAACCCCCGTTCACAGCAGGGACAGTGGAAGTGCTCTGGCCCACTTCCTCAGCCTTCTGACTTCCAAGGAAGAGTTTAAACGGAAAAGGTATCCATGAGGTCCCTTCCTGTGGGGTCCTAGGAAGTTTGTGTTACTTCCTAAAGTGGTGCTTGGTACTCAGGCCATGGGCAGGAAGGTGAGTTCCCAGGGGCCCTTGGGAGAATGACACCCACCTGGGTGTCATCTTTGGAATGTCTGGAGCTGGTAGTCTGAGCCTCTGGTCAAAAGTTGTAGTCATGTCCCTTGCCTCTGATATGTGGTTTCAGCTTTTCAAAGTTGGTGCTTATAATTCTACCTTAGAGTTGCTGTACCTGACTCTGACAATTTGTTAAAATCCAAGTGGATCTTGTGGAGGTGTTACAGAAGGGTGATAAGGTGCCATAGGTGTTTTTACTTGATAGCAAAGTATCTGAGTCGTGGCCTTGAGAAAAGAGGCCAGGGCACTAACTGCATATCACCATTTTTAGAGCACCAGCTGTATATCGGCTACTACCAGGGGAGAGAGGGCAAATGTTACACCCTTTGCCTTCATGAGTCTCCGAAAGCACTTCACGTAGGCCATCTTACTTATAAAATAGATCTTTATTATGGGGCTGGAGAGATGGCTCAGTAGTTAACAGCACTGGCTGCTCTCCCAGGGGACCCACATGGTGGCTCACAACCGCCTGTGACTCCAGTTCAGAGGACCTGATGCTCTCTTCCGTCCTCTGGGCACTGCACACATGAGGCTCATGGACACACAGGCAGGCAAAGCAACCATATGCATAGAAATAGATCTAAAAAACAGTTTGAAAAATAAAGGTGATATTAGTTTACTGACCCCGCCCCAGGATCTCATCTATCCCGGGCTAGCTTTGAACTCATCGTGTGGCGGAGGATGACTTTGAACTTCTGATTCCCTGTCTCCAGCTGGCAGGGTGATTATAGGTATGAGCCACCGTGGCTGGTTTAGGGAGTGCTGAGGATGGAAGCCAGGGCTGGTTTGTGTCTGCTAGGCAAGCACTCTGCAGACTGAACGGAAACTGCTGGGAACTGCAGACTGAGTCCCGAGCACTTTTATGTTCCCATTTCTTTTTCTTCTTGGAGATAGGGTCTTACGCTACAGCCCACACTGGCCTGAAGCTCAAGGCACCTCCTGAGTGCTGGGATTACACCTGAGTGCCAACCATACCCAGTGCATTTGGTGCTGAGATGGAAGCCAGGGCTTCATACAGGCTACATACATTAACCAATACCTGAGACAGATCCTCAGTTCTGTGCATAAGGCTTCTCCAAATTGAATCAAGCAGCTTACAATCTTTTTGTAGGATCTGTTTTTTTTTTCTTCATGCTTGTGAAGTACTTCACTAATTCACACTGTTGTATAGTCAATTGTGTGTGTGTGTGTGTGTGTGTGTGTGTGTGTGTGTGTGTGTGTGTATTCATCGGCTCTATCCATTTTTCCATTGATGGGCATTTGGCTGGGTTCAATTTTTAGTTGTTGCTGCATGGACCATTCTGGAAAACAGCTGCACATGTTTCTCACAGTACAGTCACAGAAATGGTTCCATAGTATTCAGAGTCATTTTTCCCAGCGTGTGTGCTCCCCCCCCCCCCCCCGGCAGTCTGGTTTGCTGTGGTTGCTCTACGCACTCGCCCACAGCAGGGTTGACTAGCCCTGTGCTCCATGGACGTTGGTTTGAAGCTCAGAATAGCTGTCTTGTGCTTAGCTAAGGGCAAAGTGGTTGTAAGTGACAGATTGGGATTTGAATCCAAGCGTGCATGACTGCGTCTCTCTCTCTTCCAAATTTATTGTTATTTTATGTGTATGAGGGTTTTGCCTGCATGTATGTCTGCATGTAAGGCACCGCATTTGTGCTTGGTGCCTGTGGAAGCCAGGAGAGGCTGCCAGCTCCCCGGAAACTGCAGCTACAGACAGTTGTGAGGCACCAGGAATTGAACCCAGGTCCTCTTCGAGAGCCAGTGCTCATAACCACGGATCCGTCTCTCCAGTGTCTTTGTTTTTCTTTTTGAGACAGGCACAGATTATGAACCCCAAATGAGAAAATTCTAACCTAAGCTCAGTAAGAGGGTTTTCTAGAATTTGAAAAGAGAAGAAAGGAGTCATGGAGCCTCATAGGAAGTGGTGCTTGGGCTACTAGACCCTGAGGGCATGGAGCCGCTGTTGGGTGGGTTTCTCGTGGAAAGAGCCCTTCTGGAGGAGTGATGTGGCAGGGGAACTGGGAGGACAGGAAAGTCCTCTGTGGCTGTAATGTAGGATATGTGGACTGGGGTGTGGGTCTCTGTCTGAGCTCTCTTCCCCTCCCTCCATCCCTGGACATTTTTTTTTTTCTGGGGAAACCGGGGCTTCTTTGAATCCAGCTCAGCTCTTGATGGCAAATGGAGCTGGTGTCCCACAAAAGGGAAGCTCATGGCTGTTCTGGGACCATGCTTCATGTTCCTGCCAAGAAATTTTTGAGGGGTTTTCTGCTTTTACCTCTCTGTGTGAGATTGGTGTCCTCCTCTAAGAGCCGAATGAATGGTTTATTTGGAAAGAGTGTTGGTTTCTGAAGGCCTGCAGGGTTAGTGAGCATGAACACAGGTTCAATTTCCAGTTCTTGTAGAGTCAAACTTGCTAAGGGGACCCCAAAATCTTTTTCTGAGGACAGAATTGAATTGGTTGTCTTCATAGCTGTGGGAAGCAGAGACATAGCGGCCTCGGCTAAGTTAAGTAACAATAAAACCATCTTCCTTACTTTGCAGTATCTTACATTCCCCCCCCCCAATGGATCCCCACATTGGTATATGAAGTCGATGTTAGGAATTATGGGGGTGTCCCTGTTTACAGATGAGGGGGCTGAGGATGAGAAAGGGTGCCAGCCTGTTATGGGTGACAGGGAAAATCCATACCAACCTGGTCCTATATCTAGGCTTGCTCTTTTTAGTATCTGTGAACACTCAGGCCCTCCCTGGCTGCACAGTGGACGTGAAGAAGGAAGATACATGAAGAGTCATGAGTGTTCACAGGCAATTGACTATGAAAGTGAGACCTGGGGGCTAGGCCAGTTCTGTCGGGGGTAGGGGGGGAGGTGTCTCAGGGATCTGTGTGCTTTGAAGGAAGAGATGAAGGAGGGAGCATTTTGGTAATGGAGCTGTGGCTTGTGAGAAGGAGACACACACACATCCCTTGAAGTCCGGAACAGCCCCAGTCTCTTGATGTTGGTGAGGCCTGTCCTGTGTGAAGTTCCCTCTACTCCCCCTTCCCGAGAGAGGACCGCCTCTCAGGGTCATGTGTTTGGCATTTGATTGGCAGGCAGAAGAACAGCTGCCCATGCTAATCAAAATGGGCTGAGAGCCCTTCATTAAGGACCCTTGAGTGATGCGTCCATCATCCATCGGCAGCAGGTCCTTTCTCTGTAACTGGGCCCTACTCTCAGAGTGTGGCCCCCAGGTAGCTCCTTGGGAAAGGGGATTGCACGTCCCACACTGAGGGCTCCCTGTGGTGAACACTGCCCTGTGCCGGCAGAGGTAGCCATGTTTCATAGATGAAGAAACTGGGTTCCTCTGCCAAGCGATGAGGTCACGGAGCTAAATGTGAGTAGCACTGGAACCAAGCACCTCAGGCTTCTGACTCCTGGTGCTGTTTTAATTTGTCACACCATCCCTACCCGTGTTCCCTGTGAGGTGATGAGTGAGCGTTTACCACTCCGTTCAGACTCGCCATCTGAGGTCATGCTAATCCCTTGTCTTTCCACAGCGCTTAATCATTCACAAAACAATCTCATGACTTGAAATTGATTTTACAGTACTGGCCCCATTTTACAGATGGGAAAGCTAAGAGGTAACTTAAATGATTTACGAAGGCAAAACTGGGCTTTGTTCTGGGCAAATCTTCTCCCTCAGAGCTGCACTCCCAGATTTTGGCGTTAACATATTATTTTATGTGTAGGGGTGCTCTGCCTGTGTATGTCTGTATATCACAGGCGCACAGTGCCAGCTGAGGCCAGGAGAGGGCATCAGATCCTCCAGAACGAGAGTTACATATGATTGTGAGCTGCCTTGTGGGTGCTGGCAGTGGAACCTGGGTCCTCTGGAAGAGCAGCCAGTGCTCTTAACCACTCTCCGGTCATCCCTCCAGCCCTGCTCTTGACTTTTTGAGACAGGGTTTCACCATTTAGTCCAGGCTGCCCTTGGATCCTCAATTCTTCTGCCCGGCAGTGCTGGGGTCATAGATTCCTGGCTATAGACACCTCTGGGGTCATAGTTTCTCAGCTGCAAATACCTCTTTTCTCAGTAGAGCTGAACTTAGAACAAGTAGCTGAAGTTCCCATGGTTCTGTTTCTCACTGAACTTCCTCAGACAGATCTGAACAAGCAGGAAGGGCTCTTTTTCTATTTCCTTAACAAGTCGGAGACAGGTGTGATGGTACATGCCTGTAATGTCAGCACTGGGGAGGCTGAGGCAAGAGAATTACTGCTAATTTGAGGCCAGCCAATGAGTGCTATACCAGCACAGGCTCATCCAAGACCCTGTGTCAAAAATGAAAGACAGGAGAAAAATTAAGAAGAACCAAATAATAGATATGGGGAGATGGCTCAGCAAGCAAGAGCTCTTGCTCTGTTTCTGCCTTTCCAGAGGACCTGAGTTGGGTTTCCAGAGCACATTCGGAATGGCTCACAACTGCCTGTAACTCCAGCTCCTGGGCTGATATCCTCTCCTGGCCTGCTTGGCACCTGCAATTGTGTGCATATATCCGTAAACATACACACACAAATATAAATAACATTTAAGAAAGGAATAAAAACTATATGTCTTAGAGTTACTATTGTGATGAAACACCACAACCAAAGAAACTTGGTGAGGAAAGGGTTTCTTCAGCTTACCCTTCAACATCACTGTTCATTTTTGAAGGAAGTCAGGATGGGAACTCAAACAGGGCAGGATCCTGGAGGCAGGGGCTGACGCATGGGCCGTGGAGGGGCTGTTTACTGGCTTGTTTATTATGGTTTGCTCAGTTTGCTTTCTTGTGGAAACCATGACCACCAGCCCAGGGATGGCACCACCCACAATGGGCTGGGCCTCCCCAGGTCTTATGGGAGTATTTTCTCAGCTGAGGCCCCCACCCTTTCAGACGACGCTAGCTGATGTCAAGTTGACATAAAACATTGTACATCAGTGGTTCTCCACCTTCCTAATGCTGTGACCCTTTAATACAGTTCCTCACGATGTGGTGACCCCCCCAACCATGAAAGTATTTTGTTGTTATTTCATACCTGTAATTTTGCTAATCATGAATCGTAATGTAAATATCTGATATACAGGGTTCCTGATACATGACCCCGATGGGGTCTCGACCCACAGGTTTCGAACCAAGGGTATACATCCTTCTCCTCCTCAGGCCAGAGGCTCGCACAGACCCATCCTTAAGGAATCAAGGTTGTGGGCAACTTGAGCTGTTTTTCTCCCTTGCACTTGGCTGCTCTTCGAACTCAGACTCAGGCTTGTTCTAATTTGCACGGGCGTTCCAAGCTTAGGTTTCTTTCCGTTTCAGGGTTGTATGGTCCAGGCCCCGATGAGGAGTCCAAACATGGAGACTTTCAAGCAGCAAAAAGTGGAGGACTTCTATGACATCGGAGAAGAGCTGGGGAGGTAAGAGCTTCTGTGAGAGGGTGTGTAAGATGGACACACCCACCCTCCTCCTGGCCATTAGCGCTGTAAAGCTGGTCTTGTCACAGGGCTGTTGGGAAGCTTTCAAAACAGGCCTGAGGTTTATTCATCCTCAGGGTGACTCTGCAGAGCTCATCTCTGACGTCATGACGGCAGCAGCTGTGCACGGCTGGGGGCTGTGTTTTCCCTTGCACTCTAACTGACAGCTATGGGAAATCTCCAAGACATTTGGCACTTTTCCCCTCAATTTCAAAGCCCCCTTTCCAGGCTGGCTGGGCATCTGGCATGTTGGTTTTTGTTCTTGGTGTCCTGTTGGGATTCTCCATGGTTCCCTGGGGTTTCTTTTTTAAAGCTGGAGTCTGAATGGGAGGTGAAGTAATCCTCCCAAAAGGGGATTTGTATTGAGTAACAGCCACACCAGCCTTGTCAGGAAGTTTCCGGGATCTGAGTTGTCCTGTTTGCTCAGCCCAGAGCAGGGCTGTGCTAAATCTTGTCATCTCAAAGTCACTATTTTGTAAGGGGAGAAGCTGGGTTTTCTGAAACCCCTCCCCATCACCCCCACTCCCACCCCAACCCCTGGGCTTCCATTTCTAAGAGCGGTTGCTATTTAGATGGGATTTTAGTGGTTACAAAACACCAATCCCAAAGTCCTAATCTCAAAGCCATGTCAGGGATGGAAGTTACCTTCACCCTGGTCTTACACGTAGGAGATGGTGGAGCAGGGTTTAAGCAAGTTTCTTAAAGTTGTTGACACAAGAAACAAAGTGAAGGTCCTGACCTGTCCAGTTTGTCCCTGCACACCTGTCCTGTTCTCTCCTGTGGGCAAAGCATTGCACACTCAAACGTGTTCCCCAAGGCACTCCACCTCCGCCCTTCACACACCTAGCAGAGCAAAACTATGGGCTGTTAAAGGCGCTCATGGGACCAGACATGTAAAACAGGAGGCCTTTGCCTTCTTTAGAATTGTTGAATTAACACCGGTTCTCACATCCTTTGTTTTAAAGGCAAATAGAACAATGCCAGGGAACTTTATTCCAAGACGAGAGGTAGTGGGGGTGGGGGTTGGGCACAGGTCAGGGGAATAACTGACCTGGCAGGCTGGTTGGGTGGGGGAGCAAATGTCCACAGACTCCCAGGGCCCTCAGACTTCTGTTGCTTATTTATCTTGGACCTAGAAAAGGTGTGTGAGAAGGGTAGAAGGCAGAGGCTTCGGGGTGCTCTGCTGGAGCTTGCCTCCGAATGGAAAATCAGGGTCTCTTTGCTTTAGGCCCTTCTGTACCCCTCACCCCCGAGCCGGGAAACAGTCTCTCCTGGCAGCGAACTGCCAAAGGTGTTTGAATTAATGTCCTCGCCTTGACCTGTGTTCTGTGCCATGGGTGCAATGATGAGCAAGGTACTGTGTTCCTTCTGGAACTCCAGCCTGGCTAGAGGCATGCTTGATCACAAGGCCAGGCTGGACTGGAGTCTGAGGGACAGAGAAATTGAGAAGTTGCCTGGGCGAGGGCCCCTGGGGAAGGATACAGAGGCTCTTCCTGGGGAACTCTTGTCATTCCCCCCCTGCCTTGCCTTTCTACCACGTTGGATGTGAGCTATTAGAACTAGGAGTCAGTGGGGTTTTCAGGCCCTCCCTTACTGTGAGTGTGAAGGCTGTGTGTGCCTCCCGGGCCGGGACCCTCCCTCCCCAAAGGTTGGCAGAGTCAGCAGAGACTGGGAGCTGTGGAGAGGTCAGACATGTGAGGACTTGGCTGGAGGTCAGGTCATTAAAAGCTCTTCTTCCAGGATCCCCACTTGACAGTTGTAACCGAGTTCAAGGTAGAGAAGGGTCCTGAAGGGGGCTATAGACTGGGCTGGAATTAGAGCTGCTCTCCTTAGGAGGTGCTGGGGGTCCCAGCCCAGGATCCTCATGCATGCTACGTGACTGTTCGGAGCTCTAAGCCTCCAGCCACCAGCTTGTGAAGAGGTTAGTCCTGCTTTTGCCACGCCACTTGACATATTGAGGACCTACCTACTGGGCGCCAGGCATCGCCTGAGGCGGTGGGAAGGAAAGCTTGTGTCCTGTCTTCTCGCTGTCTGTAATTTATTGATGTAGAGAGGCACCAAACAAGTGGGTTACAGAGGGTGAGTCATGGTCAGGTCAGATACGAAGGGAGAGGACAGGATGCTTAAGGGAGAATAATGAGAGATATATTTAAAATGGGCCGGTGAGCAAGGCCGCTCCAAGCTCTGGCCCCTGGGGCCGAGTGTGGATAGTTGGCTGTGCACACAGCTTCTGCTCTGGCCTGCTCACAATGCTGGAGATTGCCTACTCTCTCTGGAGTGCTTAGAGAAATGCTAGCTTATATAGTTTGGCCTCTCCCAGCCTTCCTAACTACCAGTTGGGCAGAACAGGGGAATACTGACCGGAGCCGAGCTCATAAAGAGAGTACTGTTTAACCCATCGCTTTATACAGGAGGCTAATACTGTGGGCTTTTCCAGAACCACAGACTGCACGTGTGACGGGATAAAGATGGGGGCTGGTGATCTTTTCTGGGGTCCCAGCCTTAAAGGAACATAGCGACCCCCACACAAAACCATTTTCCTTTTTTTGAATGCTTCTGGGGAGGGGGAGAGAATAGGAGGTACGTAGTTGTTTTTCTTTTTTTTTTGGTGTTGCGGGGGTGAGTCTTTGAGAGAAAGTGTTTGGGGCCAATGTTAGCAACATAGTAAGACTTCTGTGCTCCAAAACAAACAGCCAGGTGCATGGTACACACCCTCATCTCCGTGCTTGGGAGGCAGCAGCAAGGGGATCTCTGGGTGTTGGAAGCCAACTGGTCAGTTACCTAGTAAGATCCTGTCTGAAAAACCAAAACCAAAACCAAACAAAAACCCCAACAACAACAGCGTATTCAGTCACCAGCTATTTTTATTTCTGAGTCCTTCCTGTAATCTTGACAACACTTGCACAAACCCCTCCTGCTCGGTGTCCGCTTGTGCATGGGTTCACATTCCTCCAAGAGCTAAGGTGGCCCAGAAGGCAAAGAGGAGTGAGCAGCTGGGAGAGGCCAGCTGAAGTTAGGCCTAACTCATGTTTGTCTTTGATGTCAGGTCTACATCTGGTTTCCTGTCTTAGGCATCAGACCACACTGAACCTAAGGCCAAAGGTTTTCTTTAAACTTCTGCGATTTGTTTTTGCCCATTCTGTTCCCCTCACTATTAAAAATTATACTTCTAGGGTGCTATAGAGATGGCTCAGAGGTTAAGAACACTGGCTGTTCTTCCAAAAGAACCTGAGTTCTCCCCCAAGGGAGGAGCAGCCTTGCTAGTCCACAGAAGAGGACATTGCAGCTGGTCCTGAAGAGACTTGATAAGCTAGGGTCAGATGGAAGGGGAGGAGGGCCTCCCCTATCAGTGGACTCGGAAGGGGGCAGGGAGGAGATGAGGGAGGGAGGGTGGGATTGGGAGGGAATGAGGGATGGGACTATGGCTGGGATACAAAGTAAAAAACCTGTGATTAATATAAAAAAAAAATTATTAAAAAAAAAAACCTGAGTTCAAGTCCCAGCACATACAAGGCAGTTCACAACTGTCTGTAACTTCAGTTCTAGGCGACCTGATGTCCTCTTCTTGCTTCTACGGCACCAGGGGTGTGATGCTGAGGTGCGAACATGGCATTTCTACCTCTGGTCCTGTCAGCACCACAGTAGATGGGGGCTTTCCAGTCCAGGGGTCTCTTGGAGCACCTGTCCTATGGAACAAATCAAGGCCGTTATGAGCCAGATGGATGCGAAACGGCCCAGTAGAGTGCAGTGGCTTCCTGTTACCCCAAAAACATGTAATAGGCATTCAGAGGGGGAAGCTACTGCCTTGAGAGGGGTGCCTTCTCATGACTGAGTCCCAGAGCTCTTAGTGAGGGAAGGCAGCCATAAAGCAAGGACTCAGGAGTGGTGGGCCTGGGCTTGGGTAAAAGAGCAAAACAGAGTGAAGAGCCAGGGCTGCCTGCAGAGTCCTGGATGACAGAAGTCCTGGTGAGGGAAGGGCCTGTTCATCACCCATTGTGAGGAAAACAAAGCACAAAGCCACTCAAACAAAGTGGCTGAGTGGAGCCTGCTTTGGTCAGAGGGAAGCTCAGCAAACATGCAAATCATTCCCCCCATGAGCGGGTCTCGTGGAACCCAGTTTGCATTGTGAGGACCCAAGAGGTTCTCCTGAGGGGTCATTGAGGCCATCACCATCTACCCAGGATTTACAGATGTACTTTGTTTTCTGTTTGTTTGTTTATTGTCAGCATGTAGATTTTGTGGGGTTTTTTTTTGACTCATTAAAAAAAAAATTCCTTCCTGTATAACCAGAGTACTCAATTTTCAAACATAATAGAAGAAAATTGTATGAATAATGGAACTCTTGTGAACTTTCACCTAGATATCACCTAAATTTCAAAAGACTTATCTTTATTTATTTATTTATTTATGTGTGTGTGTGTGTGTGTGTGTGTGTGTGTGTACCTGTGGAGACTGGGAGAGGGTATCAGATCTCCTGGAACTGGAGTTAGAGGCGGTTGTGAGCTAGCTGTCCATTGTGGGCGCCAGGCACCAAACTCTGGTTCTCTAGAGCACTAAGTGCTACTGAGCTATGTTTACAGCAAGCCACATTTGCTTATTCACCTACTTATTTGTTCCTGTGTGTGTGGGAGTGGAGCCTGCGCCACACCACAGTGTGTATATGTGTGGAAGTCAGAGGGCAACTTTCGGAAGTTGGCTTCCTCCAACTGAGACACAACTGACACAGTCCCTGTGTCTCAGGGACTGAATTTAGGCCATCAGGTTTGGGGATAAGCGCCCTACTTGCTAAGCTAGTTTGCCTGCCCTAGATATCCCAACTTTTATCATCTTTTACACCCCTCCCCCTTTCTTCCTTCTCTCTCTGCCCTTTACCCCCTGAGGCTATGGGTGTGTACATTTCTGTCTGTCATTGTTTTTGAGCCGTTTGAAAGTGGTTGCAGACA